GATCCAGCCTGGGGGGAAGGCCAGCCCTGGCCAAAGAAACCAGTACCTCATCTGACTTCCCTGAGCGTCACAGCTCGGTGATCGCGCCGGCCGGACACCACTGTGACGTCCGTTCCGGGCATTTGAACGCGACCTTCGGGGGCAAAGACATGGGCTCTATGGCTCAGACTGGACTCCTCTTGGTCCCTTCTGATGCCCTGGGCCACACCTGGGCCTTACCTGGGGCTCTAGGGGCCGGGCAGGGTTTGCCCCCCGAAACTGGCATGGGGGACCATATGGGAGCGTAAAGAAAATGGAGCGCCAACGTCCTGCCACTCAGTCGCCCGACGCCGCCTCGGCCGCAACCGCCACGGCCGCCGTCTCCGCCGTGCTACCCGCCGCCACCGCCACGGCCACCGCCACCGCCGTGCCCGCCGTCGTGGCCACCGCCACGGCCGCCGCCGCCGCCGAGTCCCCGGCCGCCGCCGCCGAGCCCCCGGCCGCCACCGCCGAGCCCCCGGCCGCCACTTCCGAGCCCCCGGCCGCCACCGCCGAGCCCCCGGCCGCCACCGCCGAGCCCCCGGCCGCCACCGCCGCCGCCGCCGCCTCTGGTCCCGCACCATCAGCCGCCGACATCATCGACCTGACTTCCCCGGAGCGGGCAGAGGACAGCGACGATGAGGTGCAGCTGATCGAGGCCCCCTCTGCGCCGCCCGTCGCGCCGCCGCCCGCTGTGGCTGCCGGCGCCGACGCGGACGCCGAGGTGGAGCTCGTGGGCTCGCGCGGCGTGAATGCTGCTCGCGACCTGCCGCACCGGCGCGAAGACTGCCTGCACCACCCCTTCTCCGCCGGACGCGAAGCGGCGCACTGTCCCCTGTGCTACTGCGCCGAGTGCGACGGCCTCGCGAGTGCGTGTCGCGAGTGGGGGCAGCACTGCCGCGTCAAGCTTGCGCACACCAAGCGGAAGCGAGCGGAGGCCGAGGCGCAGGCGGAGTCGCTAGCGGCGCGAGAAGCGGCGGCGCGAGCCGCTCACCAGCGGCGGCGGCGGCAGCAGCGGCCGGATGCCTCGGGACTGCTGCACGCGCTCCTGTTTGACCGTCTCGGCGAGCCGGTGGGCGACGGGGACTACTACAACGGGCCGCCTCTGGGCGACGCGTTCTGGTCGCCGGACACGGCGGCGCCGCCGGCGGAGCTGGCAATGCAGGCCTTCTTGAGCCAGCTCACGCGACGGCAGAGGTGCCTGCTCCCGCTCCCTCGGCCGCCATTCCCTCCGCCGCCGTTTCCTCGCCCAGCAGCGGCATCGTTCGGGCGGGTCGCCTGCCCGCCCCTCGGCGCGCAGCTGGCGTCGCGGGCAGGCTTCCGCCCAACCTCGCCCGGAATGGCACATCTGCCGCCACCGCCGCCTCCGCCGCGGGCGCCGCAGCCGCCGTCGCAGCTTGCGCAGCCGTGGGTCTCCAGCGCCCTGCCGCTTGGACCTCGGCAGCCGCCACTGCCTCGTTGGCCGCCGCCTCCCGCCGCCCGCGTGATAGATTTGGCCGCTCCGCCGGCGGAGCTGCTCTGCCCTTGCTGCTCGGAGCACCTGCCGCCCGGCGGGTGGCAGCGCGAGGGGGCTAGCCCCGCGGTCTCCTTTCTCTGCGCCACGTGCCTCGCCGCGCTCGACGCCGCGCTGGACTAGGCGCTCACGGCCCTCGCGGCGAGCTCGGCCGGGGGGCTCGTCTGGTCTCGGCGTGCGGTTTAAAATGCTTGCGGCGCGGCTTTTCTTCTTCCCGAGCGTCGGCCACGCCCAGGGCCGCCGCAGCACCGTGCAGCGAGCGAGTCGGACAGACCTCGCTAATCCGCGTCGTTGACCAACGGCGATGAAGCGTACACTGCCCGGGGCGGCGGCGGCCGTGCCTGCCCTCCCGCTGGGTCCAAGCGCCGGCCAAATGCCTCAGATTGGCTTTGGCACGTGGGGTTTGCAGCCGCAGGAGGTCTCGACGGCAATCCGTGCCGCCGTTGCCGCCGGCTATCGCAGCTTTGACTGCGCACCCGTCTACCAAAACGAGCGGCAGGTGGGAGAGACCTTGTCCGCTCTGATAGCCGAGGGCGTCGTGACTCGCTCGGAGCTCTTCATCACATCCAAGGTGCCGCCTGCTGATGCCTGCAGTCAGCACCGAACGGAGAGGGCCCTGCGGCAGTCGCTCCACGACCTGCGGACAGGGTACGTCGACCTGTACCTCATCCACTGGCCCTTTTGCGTGCGGAGCCCAGAGCCCGGCCGGCCACGCCCGTGGCCTCTTCCACTGGAGGACCAGCTTGGCTACTCGGCGGAGCAGCTTCGGGAGGAGTGGAGGACCATCGAGGCCTTGGTCGCCACGCGCGCCGTGCGCCACGCCGGGCTGGCCAACATCGGCGAGCGACGTCTGGCGAAATTCCTCGCGTCGCCCGACCTCGCCGTCCGACCGGCGGTGGTGCAGGCGGCGTCCAAGAGAGAGGGCCCTCAATTTCGCCACCGCCGCCGCCACCGCCACCACCGCCGCCGCCGCCGCCGCCGCCGCCTCCGCCCTCACCCTTCGCACCCTCCCTCACCCTCTCCCTCGCCCCGGCCCTGCAGGTGGAGCTGCACCCGTACAACCAGATGAGGGCCCTCCGCGCGCTCTGCGCGTCGCACGGCATCGCGGTGGCCGCGTACTCGTAGGTCTCCAGCTCGCCCTTAATTAATTAGTAACGAGTCCATTCATCGGTGATAACAGGTGACCGCGTACTCGTCGCTCGGCTCGCCCGCGCGGCCAGCAAAGTACCAGGTGCAGGCAGACGCACACCCGCTCCTCCTCGCCGACCCAGCGATCACGCAGGTCGCAACCGCCCACGGCGCGTCTGCCGCCGCGGTCGCGCTGGGTTGGGCGATGAGACGCGGCGTGGCGCTTATCCCGAAGAGCGCGCACCGGGAGCGGATCGCCTCAAACCTCGCCGGGACCCTCGCCCTCGCGCCGTCTCTCTCGCCGGGCGACCTCGCCGCCATCGACGCGCTCGAGCGAGGCCACCATTACCTCGCGGCGGGCTGGCGGTGCGCTTGCCCTGCGTCCGCCTGGGCCTCGGCTCCGGCGCGACGTGAATGCGACACGTGTTTTTTCCGCTGTAGGGGCTACGCGTGGAAGCGAGGCCAGTCCCTTCAGGAGCTCCTCGACGACGCGCCGCCGCCGCTGCCGCCGGTTGGGCTCGGCGCGGCCTTGCTGCTCCTGGCCTGCTGCTGCGCACTGGTCGTCTGCAAGGCGAGGCGGCACGCGGTGTCGCGGGACGCGGCGCACGAGGTCGTGCGCCGGCTGTCTTTCGGGGGCATGCCGCCGATATAAATCTGTTTCTCTTCGTTTCTGGTCTCGCTCCAACTGGCGGGGTGGGGAGCTGGCCCGCGGATGTTTCTTCTTTTGACCGCGCAAGATATAAAGGGTGTCCTACGATGCGAAACTTGGTGCGCGCGGACGGCGGAGGGTGGTGGGCGGCTGCCAGCGCCTCTGCCGCTGGCGTCGCGTGGGCAGAAGAAATGGTTGGGTAGTAGGGCTAGAGAGGGTCGCTCTACACTTAGCCTCTGCAGCGAGCAAGCGCTCAACTTAGCCCCCGCACGGAGCCGGGCTCGGACTTAGACGCTGTATGGTCGGGGGCCATGAACTTAGACGGCACAAGGCCAAATCCGGGTAAAACCCGGGTATACCTGCAAAAGTCCAGGTTTACCCGAAAAATACCTGGACGCGTCCCGACCAACGTATGCCGCGCACGACGCCATATCGCCTTGTCCCAGGGCCAGTGCGCTACTTGCGGCGCGCAACTCCTGCTCAAGTACGCGCACCGTACCATGTGCTGCCGCTATGCGTGCCTTAAGGCGGCTGCGGCGAAGCGGCGGGCGCGGCATGCCGATGGCAGTGCGGACGATGCGGTTGCGATGTGTTCTGCTTCAAGATCGTGGCGGTGCTTGGCATGCACTTGTGCGATCCCAATCAGCTCATCGCAACGCGAAGCAGCGCAACAAGCTGGCTGCTGCCAACAAGGCCCTATGCTAGATCTACCTCACGCGCGGATCGTTCAAAGAGGACCAGCATACACAGGCTTCTCTGACATGCGTTTGTTTGAGCTTGAGGCTATTTATGTGAGAAATGTTTGGCTAGAGATTGCGCTCAAGAAGAGCAACGAGAATCGGAAGAGGAGGATGCTGAGGCGGCGATTGCTGAGGCATGAGGAGGATCGATCCGGATTAGAAGGCGCCCGCCGCAGGCGAAGAAAATTTGGGGGCTAGCGCCGTATCGTGTTGATCACGGTGGGAGCCTCTTGGCCCCAGGCTGTGCCACGGCCGACTTAGCCGATGTAAGAGGCTCTCGCTGATCTTAGACCGCGTAAGCACCCCAGCGTGACTAGTCACACTTAGACCCGCTCAGCCTCGAGGCTCAGAACTTAGACTACTACCCAACCAGTGCAGAAGAGTGGCGGCCGCAGAGCCGACAGTCGTTGCTGGCGTGCGGCACGTCGTTTTTGGGCACGACGCCAAGCGGCGCCTCCAGAGGCACGAGCACGCGACGGGCCTGGAGCTGGACAACGGGATGCTGCTACGGCGGCGAGCTCACGGCGCTGGTGGTGGTGCTGCCCGAGCACCTTGTGATTTTTGGGTCAAAATCGTCCCGATTTCATAATGTTCGTTCGTACGTGCATCCGCGGCGCCCAGCGCGGTGCCAGCGGCTCCCATACCTCTAAGAGGCCACCCACCTCCGTATAGACCCTTATATCCGCGGTTTACGCCCAATAGAGGCAGCTGCAAGAGGGCCCGGACGGGCACTGCGGCACACACTGCTCGCTGCTCGGCCATGCGGTAGCGTCTGGTGATGCCGCCCCTGCGCGGGCGGGGGCGTCTCGCTCGGCAGCAACTGCGCCGCGCAGCGCAGGTTCGAGGGTCGCGGTGGGTGGGTGCACTGGAAGACGTAGCGGTCGAGAAAGCGCTCAGCGACCGCTACGTCTCGAGGATGGAGCCGTCGCGCGGACCCGACCGGCCGACCGGCAGTAGCAGCAGGCGCCGGAGGGCGCGGGAGGCAGCGGCGACACCTCGGGCCAGAAGCGCGAGCCCTAGGCTGGTGAGGGGGCCCGCTCATGCGTAAACGGCTCTGGGACTTAGCTAAATCGCGCATCGAAATCGGGACGATTTTGCCAGGGCACCGTCACAAGGTAAGGTAAGGTAAGGTAGATTTCTCCCCACACACAAAGTGGTGGGGCAAGGGGGGGCGACCCTCGCATCTCCACGCCCGGACACGGGCAGGAGCCCCACGGCATTCAAAGTGCAAGCACTGGCCCGGTGCACGTGGGTGAGCAGCCTGCCCCTCCCTCCCGACAAACCAACTCCCGCACACACACAATCGCACTCTGGCCATCGAATGACTCCGAATGACTCACTGTGTGTGCTAAGACAGAATCTCCGCAGACATCCAAAACGGGCCGTGCCGCGTTTGTGGTGTCTTCTCAAGCACTAGCATCCGGACGCCGCACTCGAGCGGGCGGGTCACATCTATGTGGGCCCAGTGTGCGCACTAGGCGCATATGCTAGTGCTATCCTGCCCTATGGGAGGCAGAGGGATGGGGGGAGGGGGGGGCAGAGGTAAGGTGGGGTGAGACTGGGGAGGGCCTCAAAGGTCCTCCATGGGGGTGGGGTCCGGCCCGAACAGGTCGAAGCCGGTCCCGCCATCGCCGCCGGCGCCGTCGCCCTCGTCCGCCTCGGAGGCGGAGGTCGTCGAGCGGGGCGTCTCGCCCCGTCGCGAACTGCCGCCGAACACGGCGTCCGCCGGCGCCTATGCCCCGGCAGCCGTGATCA